AACTGCCCTGTAGCACATGCCTGTGTATTGTGTTAGGGGTACAAGGCTCTGCACACTGTTATTGGAAAGGTGTGCATGGGGGCTGAGCAGTGCACACTGCCGGGCTGTAACGTTTCTCATGGGGGCTGAGCAGTGCACACCGCTGGGCTGTAGCATTTCTCATGGCGCTGTGCAGTGCACACTGCTGGGCTGTAGCGTTTCTCGTGGCGCTGTGCAGTGCACACCCTCGGGCTGTAGCATTTCTCGTGGGGCTGAGCAGTGCACACTGCCGGGCTGTGGCATTTCTTGTGGAGCCTGAGCAGTCCACTCCCTCAGGCTGAAGTGTTTCTTAGTGGGGGCTGTGCAGTGCATACCATCGAGCTGTAGCGTTTCTTGTGAGGGCTGAGGCTGGGCTGTAACGTTTCTCGTGAGGGCTGAGTGTGCACATCATTGGGCTGTAGCGTTTCTTGTGGGGCTGAGTGTGCACACCATTGGACTGTAGTATTTCTTGTGGGGCTGAGTGTGCACACTGCTGGGCTATAGTGATTCTCGCGGCGGCTGCGCATTGCACACCCTCAGGCTTTCTCGTGGGGCTGAGTGTGCACACCCCGCTGGGCTGTAGCATTTCTTGCGGGGGCTGTGCATTGCACACCCTCAGGCTGTAGCGTTTATCGTGGGGCTGAGCAGTGCACACTGCTGGGCTGTAGGGTTTCTCATGGGGGCTAGGATGGAGGCTCTTTATTTTCCATTTAAAACAAATTACACTGAGGAATTTGCATTTGGGGAAGTGTGGGGGCAAATCCCATTGAAAGAATTACACACACTGCAAACAGAAGGGTATAAAAGCCAAGGTAGATCAATATTATTGCCAACCTGCTCTAAAATCTCTTCAGTATCTTCAGACAGTTTTAAACTGCTCCCTGACAGATTGTCACAACCGACAGGAACTCGTCCTCCTTTCAGCTGGGCCTGTTTACAGGTTCTCTTCATTGCTTGACGGTCACTAGCAAAGTGACCCACAATAACCCTGGTCTCCTGATGTAGCTTTGTCACACTTGGTTAACTGAAGCCAAGACTACAGATCCTCCTGCTACTCCTGCAAATTGTCTCCTGCCTCCCAGTTCATCACAGGATAGTCAATGGGCTCCAGGGAGCTCCTGGAATTTCCCAAGCCCTGGCTGACCCCCACACTAGAATTGCAGCCAGCTAGCACAACCACCTAACATATTTTCTCTCAAATGTTCTCCCCTCTTTCCTGCCTGTCAGTCTCCTGGTCCTACATGACAATCTGTGTCGCTCCTTTCCTAGCATTCTCAGTGATGAAGGAAACTGAATTGCCCTCTTCCTCAGGTGTGGGGGTCTTGCAGGAAGACCTGTGGTCAGGAGGAAGAGCTGTGTGCAGGGGATTAAGCTAAAGATTTAATTAGCCGAATTCTTGGTGCAAGGACCGTGCAGGATAGGAGTGAGGCCTGCGAGTGGTCAGTGCCCAGCATTGGCGTAGCTGTGCTTCCATTGAAGTCAATGGTCTAATGAGCCACTGGTTTCAATGGGGGGCACAGTCGGGGCAATGTCCATTAACTGCATGTAGAGTTAATGGCCAATGCAGAGATCTTTGGAAAATCCCCCCCTAAATCCGTGTCTGGCCTCTAGAGAGGGGACTCCTTTTAGGACAGGGGGCAGATCGTCAGCTGGTGGAAATCAGCATTGTCCCTTTGACTTCAATACAGCTACACTGATTTCCATCAGCTGAGGATCTGGCCTAGAGTCTGGGTCCCTTGGCTGAGTGGTAAGGGAGGGAGTGAAGCCCAGATCTAGGGAAATAAGAATATAACAGTGACCATACTGGGTCAGATCAATGGTCCATCTAACCCAGCATCCCATCCTCTGACAGTGGCCAATGCCAGGTGCTTCGGCAGGGAATGAACAGAACAGGGCAATTATTGAGTGATCCATCCCTATCGTCCAGTCCCAGCTTCTGGCAGTCAGAGGCTAGGGACACCCAGAGCATGGGGTTGCATCCCTGACTATCTTGGCTAATAGCCATTGATGAAGCTGTCGTCCATGAACTTATCTAATTCTTTTTTGAACCCTGTTACAGTTTTGGGCTTCACAACATGCCCTGGGAATAAGTTCCACAGGCTGACTGTGCATTGTGTGAAGAAATACTTCCTTTTGTTTGTTTTAAACCTGCTGCCTATTAATTTCATTGGGTGACCCCTAGTTTTTGTTATGTTTCACTTTCTCCACACCAGTCGTGATTTTATAGACCTCTATCATATGTCCCCTTAGTCTCCTCTTTTCCAAGCTGAACAGTCCCAGCCTTTTTAATCTCTCCTCATGTGGAAGCTGTTCCAAACCCTTAATCATTTTTTTTGCCCTTCTCTGTACCTTTCCCAATTCTAATATATCTTTTTTGAGATGGGGTGACCAGATCTGTGCGCAGTATTCCAGATGTGGGCATACCATGGATTTATATAGAGGCAATATGATATTTTCTGTCTTATTATCTAACCCTTTCCTAATGGTTGCTAACCTTCTCTTCACTTTTTTGACTGCCACTGCACACTGAGCAGATGTTTTCAGAGAACTATTCACAGTACAGACATCAAGAGGCAGTTTTTCAAAAGCACAAATCCTGCCCCATTGAATGACTGCTTTTCAACATCTCCGTTCTCTTTTCATCCAGGAGCCCCATAGTAGAGTGAGGAAGTGCAGGATCTGAATGAACAGAGACCTGCAGGGCAGAAACGGGGTTCCAATGGCAGGACCGGGAGCTGGTGGGGGTAAAGTCCTCGTCAGCCCCCTTTTCCCCATAACACATTGTCCCAATGCTTAACATGATCATGGAACTGTATAAAAACCAAGAACAAATCAGCCAACCCACCCACGAAAAGAAGAATAAGGGAGTGAAAAGTGACTGAAATAGCAGAGAAGCATGTGAGGCATTTGCTTCTGAAGGCCAGATCCAGCCACCTGCACTCACATCAAATAGCAACTTAGTCTGCACGTACCTGTGCTATATGAGAAATAGGTAGCTATTCTTTGTGAGTAAGGGTGACTGGATCTGGCCTTCAACTACCAAACAACAGCTCAAATCTCCAAGCAGAAACAGAGGGAAATAAATAAATTCATTAGAATTGGTCCTGGCCAATCAAGAGCTGATTCTGTGTGTCATGAGGTTCAGGGGTGTCTAATTCCAAGGCTGTGTTTCAAAGTCCATCACTGCGTGTGGGGGGAACCCGTCATTACATCCAGATCCAGCTTTGGGGGAGCATTTGGAGCTGAGTTTTGATTCAAGTCTTGTGGCTAATGTCAACCTCCGCAGAGAAATGTTTTGCTTCCTCCCCGGGTACATGCAGCTTGTGTCTGTGGGCAGGGGGAGTGTGTGTGTGTGTGTGGAGGGGTATGGGGGGGGATGGGATGTAATGGAGAATAACAATTGTCTTAATGGAAAGAGAGAGAGAGGAAAAAAAGGCTGTTGAGCTCTTGCTTTCCAACCCCGAAAGAATAGACCTATTACTATCCCCAAACCTCAGCCCCCTCCCCACTCCTCAGAGAAGAATTGGTCACTGCACAGCTGTGTGAGAGAGAAAAATATATTTATATATATAAGAGAATCTGCCCTTCTGAATTGGTTTGTGGGGATGGACAAAACCTCATTGTGTGCTTTATCTGCCCAGAAGATAATGGGCCCACAGTCTTCTGCTGGCAGGGATTCTGCCTTTGGTTAACTGTGGTCAGATAACTGTAACTTCATTTAGCTACTGTACTGTTATGTTTTTTGAGGCATTATTATTGATTGTGGACACATCTGGGGAAGAAAACCCAAATGTTCCCTCCCCCCGTTGAAAGAAAGCATGATGACAGGTTTTAAGAATGAGGATCGGACCCATGGGCTTGTGCAGAGGTCTCAAACCGTTTGTTTTCCGCCTCTTGCTGTTAAATTTAAGTTGTGATTGGCAAAAATAATGATAATGTTAATGAGGCTCTTGTCTGTAAAGGGAGTGTCAAGGAACGATTGTTTCTTTCTTTCCTTCTGGGTCTTCTTCCTAGGGGTGGGATTTGAGTGCTCAGAACCTAAGTGTAGTGGGGCCCTGGCAGGACACTCACTCTTTCTCTCATGACACTGGCAGTGATGGCAGGGTAAGTAGTTTGTATGAAACATGCAGAGGGCATTTCTGAAAGTGACAAATCGGTTAGTGTTGTCTCATCGAGGGAGGTAAAACTGGGCCATAAGGCCAAACGTCTGACTGGGCTTTCTCAGAGCTCTTTGTAAACTAGCTCAGGTTCTCTTCTCAAAACACATGCTTTGAGGTTATTTTTCAGCGGTGCTGGCAGTCTAGCTCCTGTCAGCGACCGAACACTAACAAATCAATGCAGTCCAGACTCCCCCAGACAGCCTACAGTGTGGGCAGGCTCGTGTTTGTGAGTGACCCTACAAAGCCGTGTATTCAGTCCAAACCCCCACACCCCAAACAACTCTAAATTAAGGAGCCAGTGTGGGCAGGCTTGTGTTTGTGAGCGACCTTACATTAACAAATCAATGTGTGCACCCCTCCCCTACCACTGTTCCTGACCGTAACAAAGCAGTGGGCTTGGCTCAGCCTGACAAAGGGCAAGGCCAGTAACAAACCAGTGCTTGACTGACCCTATAAAAAACAAACCAGTTTATACAAGCCACCCTACAATAACAAACGGGGGGTGGGGTGTTGTCATCCAGAGTCACCCTCACTGGCGGTGTGCGGACCTCCCAGAGCTATCCTACGTAACAACAACGCTTACTGGAGGGGAAGGGGGGAATGAGGGTGCCAGCCCCCGTGGGGGAGCGGGAATGGCAGGCGCTGTGCAGGCGTGGGGGGCAGGTGTGCTGGGGTGAGTGCGTGAGGGGAGGAAGGTGAGCCCGGCTGCCCCTGGGAAGGCTTCGGGACTATCCCAGGGCGATGGAGGGGAGCGGCTCCCCCGGCGGGGTGCTTGCATTGCCCGCGGCGGCCAGCAGAGGGGCCGGGCCGGGAGGCGGAGCCGGAGGGAGGAGCCGCACGGCGGGCAGGGCGCCCCGGAGCCAGCCGCCCAAGTTGAGTGTCAGGGCTGCTGCTGTTTCTCGGAGGCCGATGGGCAGCTGCCGGGGCCGGACGGGGCCGACACCCCGCGGGGGAAGCCGCGGCGGCTGCTGAGAGCTCCGCAGAGGGGCGCGCTCGGCGGCGCCGGAGCTGGGGCGCGGGGAGCCGGCGGACGGGCGGGAGAGCGGAGCGGGGCACCCGGAGCGCTCAGGGGCCGGTCCCCGCCGGCGCTGCGCGGCCCGAGCCCCCGGGCGTCCCCTCTGCGTGCCCGGGGGGATGCCCCCCTGCGGGCTCGGCCACTAGCCCGGCGGCCCGGTGCATGGCCCAGCTATGGAGGTGGTGGATGAGACGGAGGCTCTGCAGCGCTTCTTCGAAGGTGAGAGACCGCGGTGGGCAGCCCGGGACCCCCGGCCAGAGCGGGGCGCAGACACCCCGTAGCCAGCGCCTGGGCGCATCCCCCCGCATCCTCACTGATCCCACACGTTTGCCCAGGCACCTGAGAACACGACCCACCCGGAGCAGGGACCTGGGTGCAGGCCACTATCCCCTCTCCCGTACCCCCCAGCAGGGACCTGGGTACAGAAATCGCTCTGAGAGACTGGAGCTCATCCCCAGCTCTTGCATACCTAGCGGAGAGCTGATCCCCAGTGGCTGCCCTTGTGACTGGGCACCTGCCCTCACCGTAGATGGCGGAAGTTGAACACAAGCCCCCCTCAGACTGGGGTTTAGGCATGGGCTCTGTCCGTCTCCCCGTGACAAGGCCATCAGCCTGTCACCTCCTTTCCTTACCACAGAACAGGGGCATGCCAGTCCCAACACTACCAGCTCAGGGACACAGGCTCCCAGCAGACACATGCCACCATCATAGTCTTCACTGTAGCACAGAGCCCAGCACCAGGCCAGCCTCTACAGTCACCCCCAGACCAAAGACCTCCAGACCAGTCCCCTGAGCCATGCGCCATGGATGTCAGGCTCCTTGACTGAGGACTTCAGTACGTCTCCATTACCCCATGGCTTGCAGTATAGATCCCCCTGCTCCCAGACCAAGGACATCAGCACAGATTCCCTCCCTTGTTCCCTCTGTCCCATTGTAAAGGGATTCCTTACAGAACGCTTAGTCCTCTGCTCCAAATGCCCCGCCGATTGATCATACCTACAATAACATTCTGTGCTGGGGGCTAATCACCTTTTTAATTAGCTTCCGTAGGCTGGTGCTGCACAATCAGAGACACAGATTCCCCGCAATCCCCAGAAGACCTCGGCTTGTATTCTCCTCTTAACACCAATGTGAATCAGGAGTGACGCCGTTGAGGCCAGAGGAGTTATGGAGTGTAATGTTGGTACAAGAGGAGAATCAGGCCCCTTTTGCTGGGTTCTGGACAAAGATCAAGAGTAGAATGTGACCGTTTAGTAATAACTGAATAGTTAGTAAAGTTAAACTGTTGCATTAAGAAGCACTCAGTTGAATGAAGGTTATGGAGCATATTGGGGCCCTGCCGCCATTTCTGACCATTGTTTTAATTCCTCTTTCCTCTCGCTGTTTCTCCTCCCTGCCTCATCTTTGTGCACCTCCCTTTGCTCTGTCTCTCTGCATTTCTTTTTTGTCAGTTCTTTTTCTCTCTCCTCTTTCTCTCTTCTTAATATTGTCTCTTTCCCTTCGTTATGCGTCCCCAATCTCCCCGAGATCCCTCTTCCTGTGGTCTCTGCTAATCTGTTTTCCAAGGGGAAAGGTGGTAGCAGTGGGAAACTGACTAATGCTTCAGGTGTGCATGTGCAGAATATCTGCCCTTTGCATCCAGCTCATTGCACAAAGAGCCTGTGGCAAAGGGAAGATACGGAGGATCATCCTAGCCAGTTTCTCTTTTTATAGCAGGTCCTGGGAACTTTTGTTGCTGGTGACAGTATAATCTCCAATTGTCTTGAGGGCTGGATTAATACATTGATTAAACCCAGAGTTTGGCCCCCCTCCTGCTGGTCTTTTAGTTGAGATTCACTCGCTGTGTGTTTGGGGAGTGCAGCTTGCTGATACTGTATTAACAGGAGGACAGGGGGATGGGGATTGTATGCGGAAATGATGGTGAGCTTGTTTACCCGGGAAGCTGCCCAGATCATAGGGAAATGAATGCATGGTCAATGGAAGGTGCTTTATCTGATGATTTGGACTATGGCTGCTTCTCTTTCTGTTTCTTCTCCTGTTCTGGTTTCTGTGAAATCTTTCCCTTTGATGTCTCTCTAGCTCCTCTCTCTCTTTTCCTCAAAAGGAAAATATTCTCTTGTTTTTCTAGTCGTGATCCTGAGTCCCATGTGGAACAGGATTAACCAGGCCGGAAGCCTTGCTCCAGAGGCTCTTACATGCACCAAACTGCTTCCTAGTCAGCCTTTGTTTTCAGTTGGGTTTCAGTTGGACATAGTTCCTGGTGGCCCCACTCCCAATCCAGCTGCATCCTCAACCCGCTGAACCCCACTCTCCTAGCTTCTAAGCTCCATCCCCCCCCCCAGCATCCTTGGCTGCCCCACTCGTGCTGTGCTGTGTGATATTTAGAAGCAGTGAACTTCGGTTGCCTTTCTCTCGTTGTCACTTTGAGGGGGGTGTTTTGTATTTCACAGGGTTTCGAGAGCCATCTGTTTTGATTTATTTTTGGTGAACCCTAAAAATCTCTTGCCCCTGCCTTCTCCTGTGAAAATGGAAAATGAAGAAAACTGGGGCTGCAGGACACTTCTTTCATGTCTGCATGTTGCTCAACTGTGTAACTTTTTTATGTTCGCTCTTAGTTCACACTGCAGCCTGCAGCATGGCAGTTTGTTTCCCATGGGCAGATCATCCTGTTCTGTTGTGTTAATCAGTGTCTGTTACACTGTGGTAGGTGAGGATGAGAGGGGAATGGAGGTGTAAGCTTTAGCACAAAGGATCACTGCCCATGGAAAGAGGTGATGAGATGATTCTTTTCTCTCTCTCCTACATGCCAGCTATCCAGGGTGTTTTGAAGGAGTGACCGGTGAAACTGATCATCAGGTATTAGGAGTTGAAGGTTGGCGCCTATCTTTCTAGATTTCCAGCACGGAGTCTGATTTAACCTGGGATCTCACTGTCCTGAGAGATCAGTGAACTCAGGACGGGTAGTATACAGGTGAACAAACATACCTTGTTTCTTCTTGGTATGCTAGATGTGTATTCATTTACAAGGATAAACTCCATTAGTAGGACTGATTCATATCCACACAAATAAATTCTTTAAACTGAGTATCCCAGTTGCTTCCCATGGAAAGCTGCACGTTTGAATCAAGCCTTCCCCTCATAGAGTGAATTCATTTTTCTTTCTCCATAGCACCCTCCGAGTAAGTGGAGATTTCACAGTAACAGGAATTTCTTTCTGCACATTGCAACACGCCGTAATAATTTGGGGAGTCTATTCTACTTCATTATAAACTGAGTCTCACCAGATCCAAGTCTGCTGTTAGCACTTCCACCATATTTATGAATAATCCTTTAGCACTTGATATTTTCAAAGTGCTGTACAAGGGTTAACTAATTCATCCTTGCAACCCTTTGGGAAGCAGGTACGATTAAAACCCACGAGCTCCTAACCCCTCGCCTCATATTCAGTCTGCTAGACATAGAATCATGGAACTGGAAGGGACCTCGAGAGGTCAACTAGTCCAGTCCCCTGCACATTGCTGTATCTGGTATTTACACGTCTATTCATAGCAAAATCCTTCTGTAGAGGACTGTTGAAAGCTTCTATGCGGAAAGGGTTATTTTTCCATGTTTAAACTGGTGTCAATATGGCGCGCAGGGTAGAAGCTTTTCCTCGGATCACAGCATCATCCTTAAGTTTGCACTTTGCCTAAGCAGCCATTTCCTTGTGAGTGAACATCCCTTAGCTCCCAGGTTCCCTAGCCTTGGGCCCGGCTGGTGAGGAGTGAGCTTGATTCTGGTTGGCCTTGGGTCTGAAAATCTCAGAAGATGGGACTTTATTTCAGGAAGACATGTCCTGGTTTCAGTCAGTTTGGAGTTACCCATCTCTCTCCCATAGGAGTTTGCTGCTTTGGCACGGAGCTTGGAGATACAAGGAGACAAAGGAGAAAAAGAGAGAATGGAAACGTTTGGGGCTTTGCTCTGAGATTTGGGAGGGATGAGGCGATTTTGGATTAAATGAGGCTTTTAAGGCATCTAGAGGAGGTTTGGGTGCAGGCTTTGCTGATGGGAGGAAGATGCTGTGGGGGAAGGCTGAGTTTGGTAGTGTAGGCTCTGAGGGTTCTCTGGACGGATGTTTCCCTATCCTTAGTCCAAAAGAACCTGGCTCTTTGGGTCTGACTGTGCCTTAGTTTTTGCTACAGCCCATTACTTTACCACCCAGCAGAGCTGCCTGCAGCAGGGGAAATAGAAAGCCTTGTGCCAGAGAGTGGGATGGCGGAGGCTCTGGCAGGGAAGGTAAAGGAGTTAAGTTTGGTCTCTGCAGTGTTCAGTGTTTACCTAGAGCATTTGTATTTTGTATCAAAGGGAAGGTGGGGAGTATAAAAAGCCTGACCCTTGGCTGGCATCCTGCTAGAAACCCTACCTTCCTCCCTGCCTAACACTCACACGAGGGAACCAGTTACGACAGAGCTCAGCTATTCGGGATCCCTCTCTCTCTCTCTCGGCTAATTTACGAGATAAGAGGTAGTTGAAGAATGTACATCGGGAAAGATGTGCCGAGCGGCTTTAAAAGGAAGAACAAGCAGGACTGGGGGTAGATGGCGGCTTGGCAGCTGTCCGAGGGTTGGCCTGTTAAATCTTTTTGTAGGGTGTCAGTGGGTAAAGTTCCTCTGTGTGTAGCAAGCCTGTGTGTGTGTGTGTGTGTGTGTGTGTGTGTGAGAGAGAGAGAGAGAGAGAGAGTACACAGACTGATTGTGTTTGCTCGCGTGCTCACAAGGGCTGCCATGGCCCTGCTGTTGAATTGTTGCTCGCTGCCTGAAGGGTCACAGGCATCTCTCAGCTGTGAGTGTGAATGAGTGAGTGTATATCGGTGTTTATTAGCCAGGGAGTGAGTGGATGTTTAGTCAGTATGTGTGTATTAATGGGACTGAGACAGTGCCCTTCTCTGGTGCCTTCCATCCTGGATCTCAGCTGGCTTTCCAGACATTGTTAGGGAACACAGCCCTTCTGCAAAGCAGCTCAAGACTGTCATCCTTGTTTTACACATGGGGAAACTGAGGCAGAGTGTTGAAGTGACTTGCCCAAGGTCAGATGAGGGAAGAGCAGGGAATTGAACCTGCAACTACTGACTCGCATTCTCATCCCTAGGTCTAACCACTCTCTATCCTTTTGTTGGCATGTGGTTATATCTTCACTATAGCCGCTACAGCAGAACAGCTACACCATGGCAGCCATGCCAC